ATAACAATTATCTATCAATAAAACTGTTTTCATAAAGCTATGAAAAATAAAAGCATTAAAGCACAATCCAAAAAAAATAAATAAATGGGCTTCAGAAAAACATAATAGTTGTGTGAAAGTCTAGAACAGGATAAGATGATACAGCAAGATAATAGGAAAGACTTAAGATAATTTCCATTTAGTGGGAGGGGAGAGAGGGATACACTGTAAAAATAAAAATAAAACAATAAAAATTTTATAAAAAGATAATTTCCATTTATAGAGTATGTGCTCTGATGCAATTATACACTGTGGACACATTATGTTTCATTAATTCCTTTATGGAGTGATTTTTATTCATTTTTTTAGAGTAATTTTTAAAAACTAATACATTTTCCTAATAATCATCCTGTGACTTAGGGCATAAAAGTAAATTAGAGATTCCAAAACAAATAGCATACTGTTAATTTTTTTGGTTATGGATTTTGACATCCCTGACAGATGGACTCAAATGTCATGATTCAAATATCAGTTTTGTTTCTTTGACTTGAAAGCTCCAAGTCATTTTAACATAAATGCATTTTAACAAACATGCTTTTCTTTTTAATAGAGGTATCCTTAGGGACCTGGAAGAAGAAAAAGCCATTACCACTTATAGATACTATAGTTTTCTTCTACGCAGTTTCAGTTTGTTAATGTTCTTAAAATTCAAGGTGTTCTTTTATTGGTTGAAGTAATTACCCTTGACTTTAGCAAAAACAAAACAAAACAAAACAAAAAACCCCAAACCCAATAAAACCAAAACCATCTAGAAAAACATCTGGCAGTATTACAAACCTAGAGCTGTTTTGTTAGGAAACCAGAGTATATGGATGAATATTTTTACTGCATTTTATATTAGAGATGTGATAGTAAAATAGCTAAAAGTTTTTTTACACAGAAGAAAACATTATATGCATCATATCATAGCTTTTAAATCACATCAAAAGATAATTTTAACCTGATATACAGTACTTACGTATTTTTGATCAAATATCTTTATCTTCTGAAATGGACTGCTTTAAGACAATTTTTAGCTTGCTAAATGGACTGATAGTTGTAAAACATATTGCAAAAAGAGGGTAATAACATTTTAGAATTAAACATTATAATGAATCCTACCTATGTCATTTGAAAAGTCATTACTGGTTGATTTTATTTGATCAGTGTACTACACTTTATATTTAATATTGATAGATCAATACAATTGAGTATATCTCTCATTAAGTTTTTTTTCCTCAAATTTTTATTGTGATCTGTATGCAAATGTACAAAGCACATTCGTTTTACTGTCAATAGTCCATGCACGTTCGGTTTCATGGTCCCGATTCCCTCATTAAGTTTTAATAAATCAATACTGTATCACAGAGCCAAATTCCATTTAAAACTCACAAAGTTTAACCACAAAATAACATTTATTTTAAAACATATTTTATTTTAAAATATGTTTTGCTATAAGATTCTAAAAGGTGAAATTGTTTTTCTGGTCATTTAAGACTGTATCAAAAAATGCACAAAGAAAGCAAAAACAGAGCTCATAAAAAGCAAAAAAAAAAAAAAGTCTCTATTTGTAAATTAATGCAATGCTTTAACTGTAGTGGACTACCAAATAAACCAGTTGCCACTGACTCCAGTAGGACTTACGGCAACCCTGTGTGGGTCAGAAGAGAACTGTGCTCTATAGATTTTTCAATGGCTGATTTTTGAAAGTACGTCACCAGGCCTTCCTTTCTTCCAAGGTGCCTCTGAGTGGACTTGAACCTCTAACCTTCTGGTTAGAGTATTGACAGTTTGTATAACCCAGGGACTCCAAAGCCCAACTATTAAAAACGAAACAGAAAATCCTAATGGAATGTTTATAGGCTTATCATTTTAATTCAAATCTATGAAACAGAAGCATGTTTATCTATGTAGGGTCAAAAGTCAGCTAATTTGATCACTGCATTCAAATATCTACTGCCTTTTAATATGGGTAATATTTTAAAACAGTTAAAAGGTGTGCTAATTTTGATAAAATGCTTTAACGTTGCCATTTTATTATATAGATAATTGGACTCCAAAATTCACTTTAAATATAAAGACTTCTATCTAGGAAACAATATTAAAAATTGATTTAAAAAATCTAAAAATCTTTATTACTCTTTTTTATTTCTTCTCGTTGTTTTTTGTAAAGTGCCGTCAAGTTGGACCCGATTCATAGTGACCTCTCCTTGGGTTTCTGAGGTGGTATCACTGCAGAAGTAGATTGCCCAACCTTCCTTCCGAGGAGTGGCTGGTGGGTTTGAATTACCCCTTTAAAACTTAGATCTGTTATTTCAATAGCCAAATTCTTTGTGTGCTGTTTCTAGTTCTTTTAAAATGTAAGAATCTGTATACTGCTAAGGAATTAAAATTTCTTTTGTTGTACTATTTAACAAACTTTTTATAATCATGACTAACAACTGGCTATCAAAATTTGGTTTCTGAAACCAAAATAATTTATACTATTCCATGGAGCCAAAGTATATTAATCTGTATTTATTGATCATTCTGGATGTCTCCTATTAATTTATTGCTTATTTGCTTACTATAGGAAAACTTTATTTTGCTATGCATTTTTTAAAGTAACTTCTAAAATAATGGCTATTTTGAAAAAAAATTAAATTTTTGTCTAGCATTGAGTATTTCAATGCAGATTAAAATTAAACTGAACCATTAATAGTCTACCCAGAATTGTATTAAGGATAACATATTCTTTCATTAGTGTATTCAATAAATTCCTTTAAGATTAAAGAGCTTTTGAAAATATCCTTTAGAATAAATGGGTAGAAAAAGTATATACATTATTTTAGGATGTATTTAAACTATAGGAGCTCTGATAGCACAGTGCCTAAGACATTTGACTGCTAACCAGAAGGCTGGCAGTTCAAATCCACCAGCCACTTCTCGCAAGGAAGACTGGGCAATCTATTTCCGTAGAGATACCACCTTGGAAACCCAAGGAGGAGTTGCTATGAGTTGGATCTGACTCGATGGCACTGAGTTTTTTTTTGTTAACTTATTGAATGAAATGTTATCTAATTTGTAAGAATTGACTGGAATGTTACACATCTGACTAAACCACAAAAAGTGACTGAAGAGAGAAGGAATGGCAAAGGTTAGGTTATACTGGTCAATTCAGATTCAGAGAAGACTGTTCCCAAATTTATTCCTCCCAAGGAGCTTTTGAGGCTTAGCTGTTAGACAGTGGATGTTTTCTTGTTAAATCAGGATAAAGCTGTAAATTCCCTTTCATAACCTTTGTACTCCTCCTGTAATGAACCTGCATGTTCAACATACAAATGGAAGGTAACTGGAATATGCTTTTTAAAAAATGTATTCCATCAGATAATACTAGTGGACATAATTATTTCATTTCAAGAGTATTAAGAGAAGAACAGTTTAAAGAGTAGAGGATATTTAAAAATATATTGGGTCTATGTAATTTTTTTAATACATAAAAGGTATACCTCCCCCAAAAGGCTGAATAACAATCCCTGCAAAAAGCACTATTTCATACTCTTTCAGTGCAGACTACATTGTAGAAACAAAATCTCTCTTAGAGAACTAGTTGTTAGAAATAATGACTATCCCTAAAGATATTATACTCTCAATTTTTACTACTTCAGAAAAGTCCGTGTTAACTTCCCTTACTATAAAGATTTAGCTTTGGGAAAAGTAAGCCTTTCAAATTTTGGCTGAGGTCAATCTAGTTGACTGGCATTAAACATACAAGTGCCCATGCATTTATCTATGCTCCTTTTCTCTTGTAGGTTGAAAACACCATTGCAGTCTATTTCCATACTTAAACAGTTTCAAGACTCTGTACAATGTGAACAAGTCTGGTGAAGCACAGATTCAGTCCTTAATATAGCTTAATTATACAGTCCCTCTTCCCATATAATTTATATAAGAAGCACCAAAACTGGAGCCAAGGTTTCCACAGGTACTGTAACAGCAGGAACTATAATTTAATCACATCATATTACACTATGTAACATTCTATATTTTGCCTATTGATATGTAACATAGGTAAGTTTATTACAAGCATTATTTCCTAAGATTTATAGGTGTTCATTTTCAAGTTTTATCACTTATGTAATATTGTTTTTATCTTAACATTAAATCAGTGATAAATGTATATAATGCAATACATTGGGCCATTTCTCCCTAATCAGTGTTATTATTAACAGAATCAATTAAGAAAACCAAAACAATTATAAAAGCCAAAACAAGGCTCGCTATTAACATCACAGATGTGTATCTGAATAGGTCAACAGCACTGTCCCCTTTACATGAAGTTACTTTTATAAAAAATGATTTTATACCTTTAGGCTAGCATTACTTTAGCAGCAGCTGGTATTCAGGACAAGTAGATCAGAAAAGAAGTTTCAAATGAAAAAGACAAGTTAACTCAGAAAATATCAAACCATGTGCCTAATAAAAGAAACAAACTGCTGGTGTCACCTTAACATAAAACTGTGTTTTCCCTTTAAACTGGTGTTTTAATTCATCTATGTGATGACGACAAAGCTTTGGGGTTCTCATGATACATCAACAAGATGGACTATTTTGTCGGCGAACCTCTTACATGTTTTAATATTTAAACTGTAACAATACAATAACTAGAATAAGGTCAGTGCCTCTGTGGCTTTAAACGATAACAATTTTCCCCAAAAAATAATGATGCAATTAAATCTATGCTTCTGCAACAATAGTGCAATGCAGTATCTTTTCCTGTATAAGGAGCTGAGGTTTATCCAAGAAGCAGCTTTAAATAAGGTAGATTGTTGTTGCCAACTACAGTAGTGCATTCAATATAAACACTTTTCAAGAAAACTACTGCAAAAAAACAAATGACAGAAAGTGGTTAAGAACAATTGAACATCTGTTGTGTGTACCAGATGTAAAAGAAGAATGGACCCTGTGGTTACTTGCACTGAATTACGTGAAGGGAAAATTAAGACTTAGTCTACTTCCATCTCTCCAGAAGATTTAGTATGCTGGGAGTTGTCTTTCGTTGTATCTGGTTTAGTTTCAGTCCCACTCTGTCCATCCATTGGTCCATTGTGTTCACTATTAGCTTTTCCTTTGTCTTCAGCAACCTCTACTTTTGGTTCGGGCTTGTAAATGATAGGATTACAGAAAGTATCCAGTTCCTAAAGACAGAAGACAACTGGTGATATTTAAAATATCACAGAACAAGTTATCATTAACTTTCTAAATCCTATTATTATTTTCTAAATTTTCACATAAGTCCATTTATCTCAATTTATGTTTGTACAACTAGATAACCAACTGTTTATGTATTTCAATGAAGGATTTATCTTCTGGGCTAGCTATATGGAAACTACATGGCTGTCATTGCCGACGAGTTAGTCCTGACTCATAGCGACCCCTCGTTGGGTTTCCGAGGTGGTATCACTACAGAAGTAGATTGCCCAACCTTCCTTTGAGGAGTGGCTGGTGGATTTGAACTGCCAGCCTTCTGGTTAGCAGTCAAGTGCCTTAGGCACTACGCCATGGAGACTATCTGGGTGGTACAAATGGTTTGTACCCACCACCCAAAGGCACCTTGAAAGATCACAGTCTTGAGAAACTTAGGGCACACGGTACTAATCTGACACACCTGGGGCAGCCATGAGTCAGAATCAACTGGATGGCAGCTTTTTTTTTTTTTAACCTTCCTAAAATGCATTTCTTCTTAATTTAAATATAGTTTGAAAGGATAATTTTTAGTTAACTCTTCTATATCATGCCTAATGCTTTGCTATGTAACCTATGTTAAAATAACACCTCTTTCTCAGAATAAAATCTCACTATTTATATGAAAATGGATTTAGTAAGTAGAATCATATAAATATACACAATAACAACTTTATTGTTTAAAATTAGCTGAGTAAACGTTTACTAAAAGAAAAAACTTTTCATAGTAAATGCAATAGTAACAATTTGATAAATACAATGTAATTTTTATTTCCTTGCTTTTTACACAGAAGCAAACAAACAACAAAAAAACATTCCGTAACTACTACTGAAGTTGAAAAACCTTTCAAGGCCAACGTCAGAAATTGGGGTAAAAATGCAAAGAGAAGGTGTAAAACAGTAGGACAATGTCCCAGTGGCAAAGTGCTCTTGGCATACTCTGTGTATCTCATCCAAATGGAGTAATTTAACTATTTTTATATAGCTTTTTGGCAAAACTTTTTCAGAATGAAAATACTTATTGCTATATGTGACTATAAAAATACTTGCTTTTGTTATAAAAGAAAATCAAATACCTTAAAATATACTGAGTGAGCTAAAATTCCTCTGCAATTCCATGTTCTAGAGATGATCATTGTTAGTATCTTGGCGAATACCCTTCTAGATGTTATGTCCATGTCATACAGATATATACAAACATACAACTCAATGAATACATGATCTTTATATGTAAGTAAGACATATGTTTAGGAGCTCTGGTAGCGTAGTGCCTAAGGCATTTGACTGCTAACCAACAGGCTGGCAGTTTAAACCCACCAGCCAGCCACTCCTCAGAAGGAAGATTGGGCAATCTACTTCTGTAGTGATACTGGCTTGGAAACCCAAAGAGGGGTTGCTATGAGGTGGATCTGACTTGATGGCAGTGAGTTTGGTTTTGGTTTTTGGAAGACATATCTTTATGTCTAAAATGTTTTATTTAATGGCTACACAGTATTGTATGGGCAAATCAATATATCTAATTTCCTACTGAAATTAAATTGTTTCTTATATATATATATATATATATTTTTTTTTTTTTTTTTTTCCCCAGCTATTATAAGCAAGGGTATATCATCTGCATGTACATGTGAAACATCAATTCAGGATGAATTCCTAGAATTGTGATTCCTGGGTTAAAAAGTATAAAAAACTTTAAATTTCCATACACACTTCACGCAAAGTCCCAGAAAAGTTGTAATAAATTTAACCAAAGTGTCTTAGGAGAGCATCCTTTTCTTCATACCCTTTCCAACAATGGCAAAGATTATAAATGTAAACAAAACCAAATGGATGATTAAAACGATTTATTCACATTTCTTTGATTAGTGATAAGGATAAACACCTTTTCGTACATATATTGGACAGGCATTTCTTCTTTTGTCAGCACCTTTACTCATTCTCTACTTGGATGTTGATCTTTACTTGGTATAATTTTCTCCCCAAGTTTTTAACGACACCTTTATTAGCAATGTTTTTTATTTATTTTTTAATTTATTATTATTTTTTAAACTGGAATGTTTAAACTCCATGGTAAAATTTTATGTTAAAAATATTATTTTACCATGGTGTTTATTTCAAGCTTCATCATGGACAGACCTACACTGCAAAGTTTTACAATGGAAACTGAGTTAGTTGTCTTAACCAATCTGTAAGTCTGAAATATTTGATAGTCACAAGTTGTCATGTTGCTTGTTTCCATCCTGGACTATACTCATAATTTAAAAACCAGCCTTGTGTACATGACAAATTAAATCAAGAAACAGAGAGGTACCATCTAGGATTAAAACTAATTTCTTTTTTTAAAATAAAGTATCAGCCTTATATTTGTTTTTCTAAGTTTTTCAAGTTGAACTTCTCAAAGTGTGAATTTCTTAAATTAAAACAAATTAGTGTTTGACCCCATTTAGAAAAAAATTTATAGTTTCTTACCTTTGACTTTGCAACTATTTCTGAAACTTTTACAACAGGATCTTGAGTGAGACTTAGTTTGTTCTGAGCATTCATCTTACTGTTTAGCCAATTCATGGCTTCACTGATGTATTTTTCAACTTTTTCCATTTCAGCAGGATCCAAATGATCATATCTTTCATCCTATTTTAAAAAACTTTACTTAATAGACTTTTCAGAAAGCACCAATTTATTGATAGATAATCTCTGCTTAAAAGATGTAAGACCTACTGAGTATCCCTTCACACATACTTATGTGAAGGAGCCACACACAAATTACACAGACCTAAAGATACTGGAAGAAAATAAAAATTCAGTGTAGGTGTAAAAAAGGAAAGGCTTTGTGAAGAAGTCAGGTTTGGAAAACAATGATTAGTAGAAGATATTCAAAAGAAAAGCACTTGGTCAAGAAAGCAGCTCTACTGAATGTAATTTGTTGTGGAGTAAACAAGGTGATCTAGAGCAAGCTAAACAAATTCTGAATACACAACAGTACAGCATGATGAAGTTGTTGAGGAGGAGAATGACATAATGAAAGTCTATCTGAAAAAAAGAACTGTAACTGTCACATCTAGGAAAAAACCTAAGAAGTCATGGTTAGGTTGGTAGCCATAGAACCAGAAGGAAATGCCAATGCAACATACAGGAAGATGTTTTCAGCAGGATCTCCTGATTATGGATTGGATGTGGAAAAATAAAGGGAAAGAGAATGAAAGAATTACTTTGTTTTGAAAATGATGCCAAAATACCATATTTTATAAATCGGGAAAGGATAAGAACTGGAAGGATGGTGATGTCATTTTTTTAAACCATAAGAAATCCTCAAATAGCCAAGTCCTCTTTCTGCTTATGTGATTACAAATTATGCATCCATAATCTGACTCAGTGTCTGGATCATCACATTTTCTTGAATTTTTTCCTACTTCATTGTCTCGTTTGTTGGCTCCTCCTAATTTGCCCCTCCAATTGAAATGCTTTTTAAAAATCTCCAGCCTGAACCTCTTCCCCGTAACTCATGACTTTTTACCCAACTTCCAATTTGACTTTCTATTTTTAAAGTTTGAAATGCGTATCCATGTTTCAAACTCCTGATTACCTCATCACCTACTCTTTCCAGTATTTAAATAAATGGCAACTTCATCCTTCCAGGCCAAAATGCTTGCAGTCATTATTGACTCCTCATTCTGTAATATTTACTTCTAATCTATCTGCATATCTTTTCAGTTCTACTTTCAAAATACATGCAAATTCTGACCTCTTTTTACCCCTTCACTGTCTGGGTCTAAGCCACTATCATTTCTTGCTTGTATTATTCTAATAACCTCTTAACTAGTTGTTATGCTTCCAGATCCATTAAAAGAGAATTCAAATAATATTATACATAAAAACCCCTAATGGCTTCCTATCTCAGAATAAAAGCCAAAATTTTAAATGACCTACTAGGCCTGTATGATCTAGCAAACCCTATCATTACAAGCCGCACTGTCCCTCCAACATGTTCTCTCCTTGAGATTTTTCAATCGCCATTCCCTTTTTCTAGAGCAATCCTCTTCTAGGTTATATGCATGCTGTTTTTTTGTTTTAATTTTTATAGTGATTTGGGTGAAAGTTTACACAGCAAATTCACTTTCCATACAGCAGCTCACATACACTTTGTCTCATGACATTGATTGCAATTTCCCACAATGCAACAGCTCTTCTCCCACTTTCTCCCCATAGTTCCCTCTTCCCTATGTCCTTCCCTCCCATGTATTCCTGCCCCCACCCCAGCTATCTCCCTGTGCATACAGAGCCCTTCTATTTTCCCATGATTGATCTCTCCAGGGAGTATATCTACCTAATATAAATGTTCAGTTCATACACCTGTCTTTT